TTCTTTATACTTCCTTAAGGGGTGATATGTAGAGCCCCCCTACAGGTTTGGTGGGAGACAGTTGCGTAGATATATAAGCTTCGGCTTATATATTTATGTTTCCAGTTTTTTCAAAATATTTTGTGGCTGCAGCTTATAGTGATGTGCTCTTTATAGTCCGAAAAAACAAGGTGGTAATTTCAATGGGATTTTCCTGTTTACATAAAGGTTAAATAAAATACAAAAGAAAATACACCTCCTGTCCATTTTTTTATTTAAAAATATCCTGCACTGTCCTCCTTCTCATGTGTAAAGTTAAGGCTGCAGGAGGACAAAAGTACCACTTTTTAATTATCCTGCTTCGTTCTATTTATATTCTCCTATTCTGTAGTATTTGTGGGTTCAACCCCAAACCTTATTCTCTCGGCTTTTTAACGTCATGGTAACTTCATTTGCTAAGCTCCTGTTTGGGGCATGATACTATCCTGGAGCAGGGTGTCAGCTGTGCTGCAGCAATCAAATACAATCAAACACTTTTGATTATAGATTATAAAGTTTGGCCTGTTTTTCCAATATATAGTTTGGTTTCTCTTGTACACATAGATATGGGTCCAGCAAGTCAATAACTTGATACAGTCAGCTTGTTCTCCTTAGATAGAAATTTTACCAATCTGACTGGATTATCTGATTAAATTATATAAATAAATAAAGTGACTTGAGAATTAAATGCTTTGTTAATTGGAGCAATATAAATGTATTACTGTATATGTGTATTTATACCAATGGCTGTGAATATTTTATTGTCATTATGTTTATATGATGACAATGTTTTTTTTTTATGGTAATTCATATCTTTGGCTGCACTTTGGTTCAGTTTGTAGCACTGTTGCTTTGCATCAGGAAGCCTTTGGGTTCGATTCCCAGCCCGGGGTCTTTTTTGATTGAGTTTGCATGTTCTCCGTGTACATGCCTAGGTTCTCTCTGGGTTCTCCGGCTCCCTCCCAAAACAATTACTTTTAGGTGAATTTGCATCTCTACATTGTTCTAAGGTGTGAGTTTGTGTGTGCATGGTTGAATGCTTCTTTGTGCCTCTGTGTTGCCCTGTGACAGACTTCTCGCCCATAGACTGCCAGAGATATGCACCAACCGCACCACCACCATGATGGAATAAAGGGAAGAATCGGATAAGATGGATGGATGGTAATTCCTACCTGTATTTTTTTTTAAGGAGCTAAAAATACGGGTCCTGTCTAAACGTGGATAGTGGGCTGAATGTTTTTTTTTTTAATACAACAGTGCAAAATAAAGTGTTTTTTAAGTTTGACTTGAAAGGTAGAAAAGGAATTACCCATAAGTAGGCAATGAAGTTTGGGGTAAATTGGCCAATTTTATTTGTTCTTTTCTCACACTTGATTTAATATGTCATCACTTTATGTTCTCTTCAAAAGCAAGCAAGAGGAATTAATGATATAAGTGAAATTAGAGCTTCAGAATACATGTGACACATTTGGTTGGAGGAATATTTTAGATTTATATCAAAGCATTGCTAAAACCACAATGTCAGGTTGTTAGGAGGCTTGATGTGGACCCAAATGCAGAGAGAAAAGCTAAAGTGGTTTTCTTGCATATTTAATAATCCAAAAGGTGGCAACTGAGACAAAAATCAGAAAATAACAAAATTCAGAAAACCAATAACCAGATTGCGACAGGGAAGATCCACATGAGGCTCAAGAAACGATGAAAAAGCAGCAAACAGTAACTGAAGAGAGGAGTATATATGCCAAACAAAACAAAGACTCGAGTAATCAACTGACTGGGAGCAGGTGTGGACAAAAGCAAGTAGAAGTTAGCTAGGGGAAGGAGACTGACACAAAGGGGCAACGGGGGGTAAATATGAAATACATTAGAACTCAAATACAACCAGAAAACAACTAAAATACCATTGAATGGAAATGAAACCAATGAAAATTCAAAAAGAAAACTTAAACAGAACGAAACCATGACACACAAAAGCTTACACCTAAACAGTACTTCAACATTTTTAACTGAAATTTCTGATTGATGGTTGACTGATTTTTTAAAAGAATATTCTCTCATGATTATTGTTTATAATGTTATAAATGGAATGTATTTTTAAACCACTGTTAGAAAACAGCCACTGCAATGGAACTTTATCTCCTTTAAACCAGCACTTACTAGAACACTATTAACCCCAATTAATACAGAAAGGATTGTGCAGCTGTTCTACCTGGGATGTAAGCAGCTAATCAAATAAGACTGGAGAGACTGAGCATCACAAACAATTAGCTGCCACAGTCCAAGACAACCCATTCCAACACAAAGGTGATTCAGTATTGACAAATGTGGTGGGGGATTAGTGCTCCAGAGTGTGAGGACAGTTGATTGTTCCAGCCGATTTCATGCTGAAGGGAGCCAGAGGAAACCAAATTACTTTAATAGACATGGACAAAAAGAAAAAGAGGACGGATAAAGAGGGCTAATTGTTCTATCTATCACAGACATTGATTTATTTGTTTGGAACATCAATACTGATTGGTTTTATCACCTGTAACTGATGATTGAGTTTGGCAAAACTTTGAAATAACTTAGACTAAAACTGGGTTGCAAAGATTGAGGTAAACAGCGCCTTTCTTAAGTATTGATCACATTTATAGTGTCCTCTTTCATAACCAGAGATATTTCACTGGATGCTATGTGATAAATCGACATGGTGTAGGGCAGAGCATAGATTGGTGTGACAGAGTAGCTTTTTTCTGTTAGTTTTCATTTTGTTTTTGTCAAAGAACTGTATTTTAGCATTAACTTCATAGCAACCCATGGAAAACAGAATTTATTTGTCAAACATTTATTTCATTTATTAAGTAAAACCATCTATTCTAACCAACATGGGTCAAAGCCCGGAAGAGGGTTTTAATGGCTCACTCACTCTGACACGGTGTAGGTACCAGAACTGCACAGCAGAGTTTGCAAATCCATAAAGCAATCAGCCATGCTCTGAGGCAGTTTTGATTTGGTAAATTATGATTTTTTTTATTTGATTGCAACCTGATTTTGACTTTGAATGTTAAACCTGATTTAATACTTGCTGTAGTATGCATTTTTTTTGTATGTTTGTCTAAATAAGGTGATTTCATGATTTCATTTTGCCAGATTACAAAGCCAGTTGTAGCATTAATCCCTAAATCCAAACAAAACAACAGTCGCAGTGAACAGTATCAACCCTCTAGGTGGTTGGTATCTTGATCGGCTGCAAAAATCCTGATCAGAACATCCCAAGTAAACCTCTAAGAATTCAGAATTTTCCCAACTTTTAATATTGCACTTCGGGTGAGCTGGATGATCAGATGCTTGAAATCCCCCCCAAAAAAACAAAGAAAAACATGTGCAAAGGCATGGAATGGTTGCAGAACTTCCATTGCCCTGGGATGCATGTTCACCATAGACCTGGCATTATATTTGGTGTAAATGCAGCCATTCAACTTCAGTTTGATGTGACAGGTAACTTTTTTTTTTTGCTGACCAACCATGACCATTGCCAGTTATGATAAATAGCCCCATTAAACTGAGTATTTAAAATTTACAGTAGCCTGGCTCTTAAAAATCTTGGCTGATGACATTTATTCCTAAACCAAGGCTTGGGAGTGAGGGTTTATTTACTCTTGTTAGCTGGTTGCAAAATATGTTTGATTACCAGAGGTTTGACTAGAAAGCAGAAAAGAAGAAATCTTTCAGGATGGTAGTTTCAATATAATACGGTTTGAATGAATGAAACTGGCATTAATGGTTTTGCAAGGCACTGCCTAGAATTCATTTTGTTTTCCATTCAATTGGATCTAAAGACAAAAAAAAAAAAAAAAAAACTCCACTTTTGTTTAAAAATGTATGATTCTCCCCCTTGGTTTACAGAAACACATTTATCTTAGACCAACACCTAAATATTCATCACTTGTGATAATTAAAAATTTATTTAACATACCTGAGTCAGAAACCTACACAGCAACAAGCAGAGCTGTGTGTGCATCAGGCCTGGCCAGCTCATGAATATTCATGAGGGCAACCATAGAGATATTGACCGTATATAAAGAGGGTGCTGACAGACCTGTCAAATGTTGCATGTTTAGTCAGCTCCTCTCATCTTCTCCAACCCAAATGAAGTCATTCAGTCTCCAATATATTTCTGCGGGTAATTTCATATAGGACTGAAATAAACGGGAAGCTTCCACCGCACTGTCACTTTCACAAACCAAATGTTTATAATGCATCTGAAGCAAAAACACTCTGACAGCATTTTGGCTGCAGTTCAGGCCAAGCAACATATCATTTAAAAGTATTAGAGCTTCATACTTTAAAGCTGTTGCACGTGAGATAGAATCCACCAGACTGAAAAAAAAGAGCTGCCTTTGTTCATCCAAGCTAAAAACAGAACCAGGGAGAAAAAAGGAACAAAACGTGGATGTTTTTCCACATGACGCTTGGGCATGCGAAGAGTAGCTGTCTCAGTGAAGGAGGATGGAGGCTTTACATTCCTCCGTAATGTGGGGGTACTCTACAGTGTTGATGGCAGAGGCACTATTGAGTGCTCACAAAGACCTGCCCACCCGAGAGGGGAAGAATAAGAGCATTGAGAGGGAAAAAAAATTAAAAAATGATGAAAAAAGGACTCTGGCTTACAGAAGATCAAACATACTGGAGAAGACTGTCAAACCAAAATGCAGCATAGGGTAAATGTTTGACTGCACTTTTGTCATATTAATACAATCATTTTGCTCTGAGTAGTTTTAAATTATACACAAGGGTGAAGGCAAAGGTCCTCCCTTGATATTTTCCCTTTTTACTGCAGAGCACAAATGTAATGATGGCATGAGTGTTATATAAAAGGTAGCAAATAAGCCACTACAGTCCAGTTCTGATCCGTGTTTTTCATCCTCCCTCTGACTTACGGTAACTGTCAGCAAAAGGCAATCATTTAAAGCTCAATTTTATTAAGCTGCACTACTCACCCACTTCAGACATCTCGGGCACCTCAGCTACAAAGGGTCCATCTGGAAATTGAGGTGCATTGTCGTTGATGTCTTGCACTTTGATTATGAATTCCGACATTGGTTCCAGGGCCTCTTCCGTGTTGCGGTCCAAGGCTTGTGCATGCAGGACATAATGTGCTTTCCTCTCCCGATCCAAGCTCTTGGTTGCATGAATATCACCCGTCACCTCGTCGATGATAAATATAGACCCTGCTCCCTCTCCACTCAGAATATACCTGACGGATCCGTCACCTTTATCTGAGTTGGAGTGAAGCTGGATGGGGGGAAAAGCAGAGAAAGGGTGTGTTAGCATGGATGATGGGATGCTGCTACAACATCTTCAAACAGCAGATTTGTTTCTCCACATCTGACTGGAGGATTCTTAAAAGCAGCCTCTTTATGCCATCCAAAAGAAACAGTCATTTCTTTCCAGGAGTTTTCCTACAATCTGTTGATAGTAGTTGTATCTATGGGCTAAATGATGGTATGTCTGTAGGTGTTCACATTTACAAACCCTCGCCAGTAGGAGCTGTTGCACGCTCGGCATATTTTTCCATGCCGACTTGTCTGCGTAGTTGCAGTTCAGAAATTCTGGTCACAGCTCGGAGGGGCGTGCAAGCTAAATATAACATCATTTGGCCATGTGGTCCTGAATAACGCATCAAGCATAACCCAAGCTTTGTTACCACTACCATTCTTACAGCATTATTTCAACAACATCTTTTGATTAAAACTACAGATTTGTGGATTATATCTCAAATAGTAGCCCTACTTAGCAGTTTCTCCCTCTGAAGCTGTAGACCTCTGCAGCTCCATCAGGGTTACCCTTGATTTTTTTGCCAGACCTCTTAGTTTAGGGGAACTTTTCTCTCTTGGTAAGTTTGCAGTTAGGCCATTTCTATTTTCAGATGAGGGATTGAATAGAGCTCTGTGATATGTCCAGTTTTACTGTATAAGCTAACTCTGCTTCTACTGTTTGCTGATCTTCCTTTTGTCCACTCATCTTTGCAAACAAACCTCACAGGCCTTCCCATAAACACTTGATTTACAGTTATATCAAACTTCCCCAAATTGTCCCTCTAGTTACCAGTCGAGGGACTTATAGAGGCTATTTAGGCGTGAGCAGTAAAGGCTGTTGTATTCAAATATCCACCTGACTCCCATTGTCTTTTCTTTAAAAATGATGTAGAAATTGTTACTTTTCCTTAGAGTCAAATTTAAACATACTGAAGTTTTTTTTTTTTTTTTTTTTAAACATAGAAAAATACAAAGCACTTCATCAAATATGTCAGAAAACAAAACATACAGTATTTCACCACTTAGAATAATGGGGAGTGTCACAGACATTTTCCTCAAGAATGGAAATAATGAAGAGAAAATGGCAGTGGGTAGCATTACAATCAGTTGCAATTTACGTAAAGGATCTGTACTCCACAGAGTAGTAGGCTTTGCAGGATTAATTCGCTGCATGGTGGTCTTTGGCCCACATTCCTCCCCTTTAAAAATCTCCTAACTTCAAACCCAGACATCACATTATTCAATATTCCTCTCCCAGGCATTACTATAACCAAGAATCCCTGTAGAACCTCATCTTTAGAGATTAAAGGTTTAAGAGAAATCCTTACAAGATGGTTAAAGATGGAAAAGTGTTGCCTTTTTCTCCAACCAGGACCCACAGGAATAAAGCAGAAGCTAAACCATTGGTTCAGCCATAATTGATACCAAGAGGATTAAGACTTTCATGCCAAAAGCTCAGCTGTGGAGCAGTTTCATTTTTTTATTTTATTTTACAGTGAAGCTGAATTTCAAAATAAGGGTGACATCCTAACATCCTAACTATGAGAAGTATGTATTTAGCAGCAAATCATTTTCCTGTCAGATTATGGCACTAGGGAAAGTTTTTCTTTTCATGTTTGTAGATGCATATCTGATGAATAGCTGTGAAGGAGGAGGCCACCAAAAGTCCGGGTAAAGCCCCTATTCCTCTATAGGAATAGTATTGGATAAATAAAAAATGCCTTATTGGACAAAATACTAAATAATAAACAGGGAGTTTTTTTCATGTACAAAATGAGTACTTTCATCATGATAAACCCTACCACAGTAAACATATCCATATATGCATATATATCAAAAGTCTTTGGTATATCTTTTAAACCATATACCATTTGGCATCCAAAGACCTCAAGGATGGCTATATATTCAAAAAATTAATTGGAATAAATGTTGCAGACAAGAAAACATAGTAACTAATGAAATTACTCTATTCTGTGAGTATTTAGACAGCCACTATAAATACACATTACGATCTGATAGATTATACATAATATGTATCCTAAAAAGGTTTCCATTACCAAGGAACCCCCCAAAAAATGTTTTACCTCTTTAACCATAAAAGCAAAGAGCTCTCCTAAGGCCTTAAACTAAAACTGAAGTGGAAAGAGTATACTCGATCCATAAAACACCAATTACTTGGTGCTCTTTGCAAGATTTCTGAAGGAATAAAAAAAAAAATGTAATTAAAAGTGGTGTCCAAAAGCTAAGGAACACTGTCAGACATTTTCAGAAAGAACTGAAATTAGAATGTTATTTTTTTCCATCATAACGACCAGTACTCTACCAAATACAACTAAGTGCTTATGCAAGTCCAAATACCAGAGAAACTCATATTGATGTTCTTTTAAAAATTGCAGCAGATCATAGGTCCCATAAGATCCCATAAGAAATAATGGGAAAGTAAATAAGGCAGGTTTATCTATAAAGTACATTTCAGTAAAAAGGCAATTTAAAGTGTTTTAATCAGTTAACACACAATGTTCAAAGAATTAGCAATTAGGCACTCTTAAACATCATATCAGTGATATCTGTATTTGAAAACATCATGGTGTTGTTGTGTCTTTCAGTATGTGGAACAAGCTATATATTTGAAGGAAGCACACACTTTTTGCAACTTTCTGCAAAGGAATCTTTCAATACACTATAATAAAGGTTTACAAGAGTAAACAGGATAAATACAGAATAAGATAAAAATAAAACAGCTCCAACAGATAATTTAAAGACATTCTTGACAAGAATCCACAGATAAAATGCAGAAGAGTTTTTTTTCCAAACTTTGAATTCCCTGCAAGACTTACCATGTCATTTAATTAAATTGACAATTTTAAAAAACAGCTTACAGGAGGTATCGTCTGATGCTAATTACCTAATTACCTGTCACATATTAGCCCCCAGATCTGTAATAATACTTTACAAAGAACAATGGTAAATGATATGTAGCCTGTACTTGTACATTATAGTACTTTTCCAAGTCAGAAGAATTGACCAAAGTATAATTGATGTTAATAATATGACGCTGTGATATTATTTTAACGTAAATAGTGTTAAGGGTAGGATTATTTTGAACTGAATAATCTCTGTAAAGTGTCATAAGATTATGTGTTTTGAATTGATAAAACAATAAAATGAGAATTTTTAGTTTTCTGAATTGTATTACACTACTGGAATACCATGTGATCCTTGTATTTTTGGTCTTTTTATAGCTGAGCCATGCCAATAGATTACACATACCTATTGGTTACTCTATAAAAATTAAACTCACTGGGATATTACAAAGCAACAAAGAACAACACATGTAGAGGGAGAGGAAGAAAATCTGAACTGAATCTCAACCTTGTTGATCGTCAGGTGATGGTGCTTACTATCCAACCACTGTGCAACCCCACTGAGCAAGTGATTATTGTAAATTAGGACCAATTACACTAATTCCCTGAAATGCATAATGATTCTGGGAGGCTCTAAAAAAACATTGCTCCATAAAACCTTTTTTTTTTTCTTCTGTTTTATGTAACCAGGAGCCCAGATAGGGACAGGTACTGCAAATTAGTAGATGTTATACTAAATAGTACAACACCTATCCCTAGTACAGCAAAAATGTACATTCAGTTTCCTTATGCCACCAAAAATACTTAAACAGCTGAAAAACTGGTAAATCACATATTTCAAGAATATATTACAAACTGAAGACACTAAAAAGTTTAATTGTTTTTAATTAATCAGGTACCAGGTGTAATTTAAGCATATTGAACCTTACTTTGATCATTTGTAAACTGTCAGATATAGTATTTCTGCAAAGAGTACACAGATAAAATTGGGGCAAGCTATAGAGTACAGAATAGAGCTAAGGACAAGGCAGTCTACTTTCCCCTTAATCTAAATATAGAGGCTATCTATCTTTATGAGGTATTGGTCTAATGTGACAGCTTTAAAGAGACCGTCCTGTTAAAATAAGGCTTTGTGAACACGATTTTTTTTTTCCTTTTCCTCTCATGTATGATATCATCTATTGGCCAGATGAATGTTAAATTGAAGAAAGTATATATAATATTAATATGAATTATAAGTAAGCTGGTTTTCCTTAAATAAAAACTTTTGAACCAATCTGACTGAATGGTCTGGATGAATTGTCTCTGTAAAGTGTCTTGCGATAACATGTGTTGTGAATTGCCGCTGTATAAATAAGCAGAATGGAATTAAATTTAATTAAATAGATAAATAATGATATAGCTAGTTATAGGGCTGCATGTTTTTGCAGTTTGTGGCATTGTTGGCTTGCGGCTTCAATTCCCAGCCTCCGGGTCTAACTGCAATGAGTTTGCATATTCTCCCTATGGGTTGTCTCTGGGTACTCAAGCTTCATCCCACAGGTGTATTGTGTATGTGATTATGGTTGTACATGGCTGCCCTACAATAGACATAAGACAACTGGGTTTTCCTAGATAGAGATTTCTTTTATTAAATTTTTTCCTTGTAAAGTGCTTTGAGAAAACATGCGTTGTGAATTGTTACTACACTTTATTGCCAAAATTATTTGTTAATTTGAGTTGATTCAAATATGAGCTTAAGTGACATCCCTTTCTTAATCGACAGTAAGTCAATACAATGTCAGTCCACCCTCGACTATTCTGGGAAGGCTATCCACAAGCTTAGGTGTGTTAATGGGAAATTCATAGCCATTCTTCCAGAAGCACATTCGTGAGGTCACATACTGATATTGGACGAGAAGGCCTGGCCATCAATCTCTGCTTTAAAGCTACAGTGTGTAATAATTACAGGGATATACAGTCAGAAATATAATATGTTATACATAACTATGTTATTTATCATCATCTACGAGCTCAGCCTCTTAACCTTAATATTTGCGTTGCCTTAGAATTTGTTATTTATAATTACATAGGAGCGGGTCTCGCAGCCATGGAGGCAGACATCTTTGCGCTA